ACTGAAGCAGAGATGTAGACAGGTAGATGTAGACAGACAAATTGAGAAACTTATTCACAGCGTTTGGCCTTCAATAACACTATAATTCGATCGTTGCAGTTCCATCTCATGATCCTTTTAAATGTCAGCAGGAGTCCTCATGAGCACCAGCAGAAGGCGATAATTCAGTCTCTCTAATTTCCGATGCACGCTTGTCCTTGTGAGACTTAACTTGATCCTGCTGCCTTTCTCACACTGGAGATGTAAATTCAACGTCCAACTGTCTAATAGGGTGCTTTGGTGGTCATTTAACATGCTCCAGCTATTTAATGCCGCTTAGTATGAGATTGTGCTCTGGATATATTGTGTCACCTTCAGCAGCGTTGATAGACCTGGGGACCACTTTATTAGGGCCTGAGCATGAGGACCCTAGTGAAATTGAAGGAATTTGCCATCTTAGAACACATTTTTGGGCTGCTCAGAAACTCATGAAACTTTACGCACTTGTCAAAAGTACTCAAAAAAGATATCTGATATGGGTCTCGCGCTTGGTATGACATTTTTAAGGTATATGTAACATGTCCAGACTTTTTCAAAAAAAGCCTCTTGGAGGTACACTCTAAACCTGACAGGAAGTCAACCATTTTGAAATAGCACAGCAATTTCAGGGCATTTTTTGGTCACTTAAAGAGGCTGTATTTTAAGGAACTCTTCGAGAGATTTAAACCAATCGCTTTAGATTTTGAAAAAAAAATCCCTTGAGAACGCTAAAGACCTCCATATTAAAAAGCCCAATTTTACAGAAGAAACAAACATGTTTACAGCCTGGTACAAAAAAACGGTTTTGGTCTTTATAGCTAATTTTGCCCTTCATGTGTACGAGGGTGGATTTTTATATAACTCACATGTTTATGTTTCATTAAGGCTTAAAAATACATATTATTAAGGACGGGCTATTTTGAGTGACAGACCTTCTGCCGATAGTGTCCTTGGCTTCTTAGTTCAGTCCACCCTTCATTCCTCCACAGTGCCAGCCTCTCTCGTGGTCACTTCTGGCTCCAGAAAAAAACAAGACGGTGACAGCCGAAATGCCAGATTTGAGGCTTCAAAACAGGAGTTCATGTCATGGTAGCTATGTCCATTTTACAGTCTATGAGACACCTACACGCCAATATTGAGTTATAGTCATGGCATCACCCACTGCGTACAGGAAATTACATGTTTTATACTTTGATGTACTTCTCTTGGCAAATTGACCAGATCCACCTCAAATCTCTTTCGAAAAGCCTCAAGACATTGATGATGCTTTATTGTGAAGGTTGTGAGTTTTGGTCAAATGGTGTTGCCGTGACGCCATGGCAAATTTCAATGTTTCAACATAGCACAAGAAGCTGTTGTAACCTGACTTTACATCATCCAATCTGCCCCTAATTCTGCATCCTGCATAAGAGTCCAGAGCTGAAGACATCTACATGCTCATATTGATTCATAGTCACAGCGCCACCTACTGACAACAGGAAGTCAGCCTTATGTCACAAAGATCATCTGATTTACATGAAATTTACATGGTGTGGTCCACATATGATTTACAGCTACATGAAGCATAATTAGTGTGTGTTCTCTAGTGCCATGTATTGGAGGTGTTCACATTTTGCAATACCACATATTCAGCACCACACACTCCACGCAGGGAACAATGTCTAACTTCTGTTTGCAGTGTCCAATGGTCGCAGAGATGCACGGCCATATAAACCAGCATCCTGCTAGCTTCCCTGCTTGCAGAGAAGGTGCCAGGGCACGTTCAGTGTCACTTGCAACTTAAGTTTAAGTATACTCTCAAGGTAAATACACACTGTAAATTCCAATGATTCCATTCTAATAACTGCTGTCTGTCTTTCAATGTTTAGTTACCGTTCATCAATTGGGGTTATTTTGTGAGATTTGAGGGTGGTACTGACTCATTCAGTTTCCAGTTTCACATCCAGTCAAGCACAAAACTGCACTGGAATTTCATAGAATTTTATTCAGGGCCATTCTGAGTACTCGCCTGTGATTATCTGTCTATCAGTGTTTATTTTTTATGTTTTGGACTTTCACTGACTGACAGTATTGATTTTCAAGGTATGGTCTGACAGCAAAAACAAAACACAAAGCTGCTTTAATCATCACTATAATTTGCTGATGACTTTAAACAAAAGAGATGGTGGTCAGAAGTATCATTTTGAGCATTATTTTTCTGTATAATCTTTATTCAAAGGTTAACCCATTCATTTCATCCTGGTATTGTGTAACAACAAGAGTCACACCGTACTCTTTCATCTGACACCGAATCACTCTTTTCTCGTCCATCCCAGTCATGAGATCTCCATAACTTCTCTAATGCAGGACATGACTTTACTGGTTTTAACTCTGCAAATGTGAAGAGTGAAACTATGCACATGACTCCATTTTGTCTACCATGCTCCCAATTACAAAACTGTGTGTAGTCGTTCAGCTCTGTTATTGAATCTCCAATTGACTATTCTGAGTGCAGTCAGCTGATTGAGTATCAGCTTCCAAAAGAGAAAAAAAAAATCCAGTTTTGATAAGGACCGTCTCACTGAGGAAGGAGAATAAAACTGTGGGTCCCCTGCCTGCCGTGCTCACTTATATCAAAGTGCACTTGAACAAGCCAGACATGGCTGAACACTGGTGTGAATCTGCAGCTGCTGCAGCTGCACCCAATATTAAAATGCTAAGCACATATTAAGAGCATTTTCTTATTTAAAAGTTACTTAAATACTCAATATTTTTAAGACAAGTGTTGCAGTGACAGACTGTCTGTTAGATTAGAGATTAAAATGGGTCACTGTGTAGTAGAAATGACTGAAGATATCCGGACATTTTTACTGTTACACAGGCTTTTAACTAAGATCACTTTAAGTATTCATTGGGGTACTTAAAGATTTTGGCATTAAATCCAGGCATCGGAGCTTAGGCAAAGGCTTTGTCAAAGGGAAAAGGTAAGAGTCTAAGGAGCCAAATGCTTGGCTCTGTATTTTATCACACTGGATTTGAAACTTGAATGAGTGAGGTTAAAAAGATGACTTCCATTTTTAAGAGCAATGGTCATCAACTACCACTACACCACTGTTTGAGAGTGTTAAACGGACAGATCACCCCAAAATCAAAGGACATATTTTTCCTCTTACCTGTAGTGCTATTAATCAGTCTAGATTTTTTTTTGGTGTGAATTGCAGAGTGTTGGAGATATCGGCCGTAGAGATGTCTGCGTTCTCTCCAATATAATGGAACTAGATGGTTTGTGGTCCTCAAATATATATTTGAAAAACTCAACAGCAATGTCTCTTTCCTGAAATCGTGACCTGGTTACTCAAAATAAACCACAGACCTTGTTGTGAGCAGTTTCATGGAGGAACTATTTTCTTTCCAGCAAACTACACTTGCCAAGTCTATCACTGTGCAGAAGGAAGCGTGCATCTACTGCTAGCTCACCTAGCACCACTGAGCTAGCTAATGTCACAGCTGAGAACAGCTTTCCTCCTGCACGGTGATACAGTTGCTAGGTGTAGTTTGATGAAAAGAAAATAGTTCCTAGCACCACTTTTCAATTTTTACACCATATCACTCTGCAGAAGGAAGCTTGCATCTACTCATGGAAGAGAGGCTCATGCTCATGATAGTGCAAGCTGTAAATATTAATAGTGTCCTCTACTGTTGAGCTGTAATGTTAGCTAGCTCAGTGGTGCTAGGTGAGCTAGCAGTAGATGCTTCTGCTCGCTGTGATACAGTCAGTAGGTGTGAAGCAAATAGTTCCTATATGAAACTGTTCACAACAAGGTCTGTGGATTATTTTGAGTAACCAGGCCATGATTTCCTGACAGAGACATTGCGGTTGAGTTTTTTTAATTTTTCACTTTTGGCTGTTTGAGCACCACAAGTCGAGTGACATCTATCTCTATTATACTGGAGAGAAGGCAGACATCTCTATGGCTGATATCTCCAACACTCAGCAACTCACACCAAAACAATATTGACTGATTAATAGCACTACAGGTAAGAGGACAAATATGTTTTTGATTTTGGAGTGAACTGTCACTTTAAGATTTTACCTTACAAGCTTTAAGACTTATAAACATAGCTGCTGTTATTAACAGAGATCAATTATTTGCAACTGCAAAAAAAGGTAATGTCATAACTAAACTCATGAACTTGTCCAACTTCCTCTTCCTGTAGGAAGTTGCTCTGATCTGTCTGCAATTCATCTGAAATCATCTGTCTGAAGTATCAGTGGATATTTCTGGGAACAGACATTGCTGTTGAGTCTTCTGAATGTAATTTTTGTCTCTTTGAGCACCACAATCTGAGTGGCATCTACTTCCATTATATCCTAGAGAAGGCAGACATCTCTACGGACGAAATCTCCAACACTCAGCAACTCACACCAAAACAATCTTGAATGATAAATAGCACTACAGGTAGGAGGACAAATTGTGTAAATTATGTAGTATTAGTTATTGATATGATAGGTTATCGAGAAATTGAGAAACCCGCACAACCAGATAATCCAGGGAATTGACTGAGCTAACTCATCCCATTGATGTAAAAATCCTGTAAATCCATACTGCCATTCCACAGCATTAGCATTGGTATGCAATTACCCACAATTACTTAATGAACCCAAAAATATTGTAAAGACTGCTCTTGTTTCTCTTCTCTCTCTGTCTCACTGTGTGATTTTTCCCTGTCAACTCAGTCTTATAAAAGAGATCTTGGACTCAATGAGAAAACCATAACAAACTAAAACCTGTTCTTGTCCAAATACCTTCAGACCAAAGTGTGTCACACCTACAGCTGTTTCTCTTTGGCCCTGAGAAGAAGCTGTTCAACATAATGAAGCTCTGATTCATTCAATGCTGAGCATGTGAACAGTGCATGATAAGGGCGGAGATTGCGTGACGTCACGCACCAGGCTGACAAATAGCAGTGCGTGTTTCTCAGCCTATGATTATACAGTAAATACTATGCGCTCTGCCTCCTTTCCTCTCGCTGCAGCGATGAAAGCAGAGGTGAAAACCGAGACAAACCAGTGGATGTGCCATAAAACCTCTTGTTAGAGCTGAGATATTCTTCTGGCAGCAGTGAAGCCGGGTGAGCTCGGAGCTCTTAGGTGGTTTAGTCGAAGATACGACGCTATCTGTGTGAGAGGGCAATCTGAAGTGATCCGAAGACGACAGAGGGGGGGTTGTCGGCCCACTGCAGTCTGAATCACCGCAGACTCGCCCCACCGCTGGTTCATCATCGACGACATTTGACGGTCTACGTGCGCATCCTCTCGGAGGCAGAAAGCAACTGGAAGGGACGGGACGTAAGCCCGTGTTTGACCCTCTGCCGCAGCCCCGAGGTGCGCTGCTTGGCAGGGCGTGCTAAATAATGAGCCAAAGGGACACACTGGTTCATTTGTTCGCTGGAGGGTAAGTCAAACTACGAATTTCACTATGATATTGGGGTTGTTTTTTTACATATAGTGTCCGCATTTAACCGTAACTCATCGTCTGTGTTATCTGACTAAATTAAGCTAGCTAGCAAGGGCCGTTTTTCTATGCAGCGCGTGCATGTAACGTACAACCCTGTCAGCTGCGCGCGCGTCACTGTCAAAACCGTTGGTTCAAAGTACTCTTCCGGTCAACTTTTCAAAATACGAGTACTTAAACAGTAAAATAATAACATAAATACGACACAGAGAGCGCGTTTGATCTTAGGTGAGGCTACGGGTATACCGCGGAGTATTTTCATCGTGTGATGTTTGTAAATTACAAACTTCTTTCATTGTAGCGACAATATTTTGGGCTTTTATTTCGAAGGCACATTCAATCTATTTCCGGTCTCGTTGCTGCTTTCCCTCGATAACTTTATGAACTTTTGCAGCAGCCACAACAGTGCAGCCTATTTTCTCCAGAGATTTTGCATTTTAAAACCCTGAGAGATTTTTAGATGAATGAAACTAAATGTGGGGTCAATGAACTTTCCAAGCATTTATACTTGTGTATTTATTGATAGATATTAACTACTGCAAAAATCACAACTAGTCATTTTAGGGGCTACTAAGGGGTTCCCACACATTTTCATGTGTATCAAGGGCCCCTTAATCTAGCAGATGCGCATTACCCTGCAAACATCCATCCATCTGATAATATGTGTTCCCAAAAAACTATGATCTGAAGTTTTTTTCTGTATTGTAGACCTGTCCAAACTGTAGGTGAAAAGTAATATTCGGTGTGAAATGCGGGTGCTGTTTCTAAGGATCTTTTGGAAACCTCAAAATGAAGCCACAAAAGCAGTACTGCAGGTTACACAGGAGGCCTATATAATAGTTGAGCTACCATTCTTATTCACAATACTGTAGATAGACCCAACAACTTTTTCATTAAAGAAAATGTCAACATAGATCTAAAATGAAACTGTTTGTATACACAGGAAGTTTCTCTTATTTTAATCTATTGTCTACAGTTTCTCTGTCGTCTGTTACCTTGTCTTTCATCTCTGCACCAAACCTTTGACATTCAAATGTGTTAATCTCATCACACCACAGCTCTGCTGTTATCTGTCTCGTCAGGGATTTAAAATCAAAGAACAACACAAGAAACATTGCTAGCTTGAATAAACACAATCAGATTTGCTTTCCCCAAAAACCTAAGCTGCAGGCCTCACTCAGCACAGCATTTCCTCTCACAACTGCTGTGAGACATGCTCATGCAGCACACAGCATAGCGCTGAATGTAGGCCAAGGGTCACAGCTGCCTGTGAGCGTGAATGTAGGTCAGCCCTTTGAAAGGTAAATATAACTGGTGTTACTCAAAAGAGATTGCAGCTTGAGGAATTCACTGCCAAAAGCCACGATGTCAACCCACGCCACTGATGGGCTACAGCTAGTTTTCACTTCACCTGTAGAGCATTCGTATGGTTTGTAACTATGATAGTCATCAAGTACTTTCCAGCTTTAGGATGGTTTGATTGTGAAGCTTTGTCTGCACAAGTCCTATTGTGGAAAGCACCAAGCCTTTGGTGAAAGCAGAGAGGATCAGTGAACACGCATGTGTGGCATGGGGACAGAACATTTTTTTGAGATGACGTGTGGTCACTCATAAGATTAAAAGTACTGATTTATGCTATATTAATGAAAGTGAGTGTACAATGATATTTAATGAGGAGGAGATTGATGACAGTTAAATTAGCTTTAGTTTGTTTACAGGCTGATGTCTTCAGTCAAAGTAGAGGCCATAGTCGAACCAACACAAGTTTCTTTGCTTCATTTATAAGTAGTCAGGTTTTTCTTTACGGTTTGCACACGTGTGTGAGCTTAGCAAGACAGCCAAACAACAGTCTAATTTTCATGACAGCTCATTCTCGCCTTCTCAGATGGCAAAAGTCAGCAAAGTGGTTATGGTTCCACTGAACCGTGGTCAGTTTCCTCTGAACTGCATCATGAAACCACTCAAACACTCTTAGCGTGCAGCATGCATGTGCAGTATCTTGCATATCACAACACCACCTCATGGTGTGTGGATGTGTGCCTGCTCCTAGATAATTTTAGAGCTAAAGGCAATAACAGATTGTGTTACCAATGATTGGGGTGGTCAGTATTAGAGGATGGTTTAAAAAAAGAAAACTTGCAGAGGAAAAAATGATAATAGATGTGAGTTGGCTCAAATTCATTAATAGTGCATTTTATTTATGGAGCGCTTTCTAAGATACTCGATGCACAGCTCAAATTAAATGAGCAAAATGAAAACATGTTGCAAGCACGCCGCAAACATGTGATGCTTTTGATTTACATGTCACTATTTTGATCTGTCCCTTGTCTTTTTTGACTAATGTCAGTGCTTACAGGGTATTGTGTTTTCTCACCATGTTTTCCCCCTTTCTATCCCTTTCTTCGACCATTCCTTTGTTTCTGCACCCTTTCATCCTCAAACCCTTCCTTACGTCCCTCTAGATGCGGTGGCACAGTGGGTGCAATTTTGACGTGTCCTCTGGAGGTTGTGAAGACCAGACTGCAGTCCTCTTCCATCACTCTCTACATCTCTGAAGTCCAGCTCAGCACCGTCAACGGAGCCAGTGTGGCCCGTGTAGCTCCACCAGGGCCTCTGCACTGTCTCAAGTAAGGAGAATTACACAACAATTTAATTTTAGTACCTTTACTTTATTAGGGATCATTTAAAAAAGGCACCATACCGAGGTTAGTTTAGATTAGCTGCAGGATATGGGCGTAGAATACTTATCTTAACTGATTCTGAGTAATTGGTCAGATTTCTAGTTGCAGTATATGTTAAATGGTGAACCAATATTATTATATGAATATTGTGTGGGATTTTGTTTCTTTTTGTTTGTGATATAGCTTCTGTCTTGTCATTTCCTTGTCTTAGTCCTAGCTGAGTGGTATATCTGAACTTACCTGATGATTCTAGATGTGTGAAATGAAAAGTGAATATTAATACTGCCATATCCAAAGTAGTAGTGATTGTTTCTTAAAAAGTTTGTGTGTAAATTTAGGCAGGTAAAGGCATGATTACCTCATTAGACGTAAAGCGACACCACGCAGGAATTGTCAATATGGTTTGTGAACTATATAGCCAGCGAAAGTGAAAGCTAACCCCAGATTCACTCTGCTCGGTGTTCTGCCTCACTATATTTGCATTTTTCCGACGCTGTGTCCTCAGCTTTGGTAGCTTCCTGCCAACACTTATAGTGTGTTATATGTGATGATAAGGAGTGATTACTTTTGTATGAGACTATACATTGTTTTAAAGGAAAATCCTGCAATCCTGCAGACAGCCTAAATACATACTGTGCAATTCTATGGCAAGATGCAAATGGAGGCTAACAGATGCAAATCTGCAGTATGCACTGAGGCAAAGGCATGTCTGGCCAGTTTCAAAAAATGTTAGCCTAGGAGAAAATTTACTTTACTGAATGTGCGAAGACAGGAGCAGAGGGAAGACTGCCTGAAATGTACTAATAAAACCTGTCAGAGCTGTGAAACACACACTCTGTGTTTGTTGTCACAGCAAATGTCCATGTCAGTTGGTGAACTTGTTCTTTGGCTGTCTATGACCTTAAGACCCAGATTTGGTCTCTGGTACTCTAAAGTGAATCCACAGAAATAATGAAACTGGTTGTTTGTCCTTTTTCTGTATCATTGTCATTTTCCCACAAGTTTAAATTTGCTCTCATTATACACTACCCCTTTTACATTTTTTCCCAAGAACAAATGTGCTTTTAGAGGATAATTATTTGCCTCAAAATGGCAACTTGAATACTCCATGACACTGAAAATTACATTACCGTAATGAAAGACTTAAGATCATTTTAAAAAAACAGTAAAATCACTCCAATAATGTATTTAGCCTTTAATTTGCCTGGGGAGTACTAGGTGTCACATTATTTTGGATTTCTGGTGAATTTTCTTTTGCAAAATATTGGTTTAGTTGTTAGACTCTACATCCGAGACCCTTGAGCATTGCAACAGATAAAGAGTCCAGCCTCAAGCATATTTAATCAGTGGCATCCAGGGAAAAATTATATCTTGACCCTAACGCTCTGTGGCTGTTTTGGGTACTTTCTCAAAACAACTTCTGGGAAACCAGTGTAAGAAATACACAATAAATTGTTCCTTTTTGTGCCATATGCTATGTCATTCATCCTCTCATTAGACAGTGGGAAGTTAGCAGAAAGACAGGAAGTGAGAGTGAAGGGGAATCCAACGTTGGTTAGGTGTTTATTTGGAAGCTACTGAAAGCCAGTTTGTTTGGATACTCGTAATTACCGTCGGTCGCTGAGAGATTAACAGTGTTAAAGTAAATGGTCAACGAAGCCACAGTGTTCCACTCTTGTTCTCTGGTAACCTATTTCCAGACCATCACAGAGCATGTCACACACGGTTAAACATATTGCATAATGCACAAGCTGCTGTGTGTGGAATTTTCCACAGTCAGATACATTAATTATTTTGCAAGCGAGGAATCGTAGACAAACCTGTCATGTTTTACTGCATACCACAGGTAAAATACTGCCTTTTTAAACATGAAATTTAGATTTGCCAGGGTATTAAGACAAAATGCTGATGTTTAATCCTCATTTGTCACCAAAGTGGTTAACCAGAAATTGTTTTCCTCACATCTGTTTGGCTAAAGAAATGATTTCTTCTCACTGGCTGTTGCAATAATTCTGGATGTTTCCTCTGTCAGTTTGCCTGTTTAACAAGGCTTTGTTAACTCTGCTTTCATCAGGATTTCATTTAATAACATTGCACTAATGACTTTTTCGATTGCAGTTAATCAGAGCTTTGTTTTGGACTTGAAAACATTGGACTTGTGTCAACATAAAGCAGCTTCTTATGTCAGCGTTGAGCTAAACGGACACGAGCAGAAACTGTACACCACTGCACGATCCAGAGTAGCAGGACAGAAAGGGAAGAGCAGTACAGCAAGGAAAGGAAAAAAACCCACACAAGTCAAACTGGGTCAGCTTGCACTGAGGTGCAGGCATTGTTCCATTTTGGAACAGTATGTTAGCTTATAATTTAAGTTGTCTGACTGTGGAGGAGGCTGTCACTTCAAGCTCTGTGTGTTGTGTAAACTTGGGCAGTTACTCTTGAGGAGATTCTGTACGCTGTAGATCATTTTTGAGTTAAAGTATTTAGCTATGAACAGAGGTTGGAAAACTCTCACAGCCAGGGTAGGAAGTCACAGCCCACAAACCCACAATCTGAACAAAATACAGCTGCAGCTCCAAGAAAGATATGGGCTATGTCTTATTTAATTGTATGGGACAGCTCAAGGCTAGAGAATTTAATCTACCCCCAAAGGACCAGTTATTATCAAGCCCAAAGGACCACTGCCTTGTCTTTTGGATCTCTTAATTTCTTCCCAGGATGTTTTTTTGATGTACTTTGCACCACAGTTTATGTGTAAATATGCAACCAATGAACTAGAAGCTGTACTCGTTCTGAACGAGGTTTCTGGGTTAGGTTGGAGATGGATGAACAGTCTATGAACTCGGGTAAGAGCAGACAGTAAACACGTGATATCACTACTTTAAACACCACCATAGCAAGGACACCTGCCATTTTATTTATTTTGGGTCTGTCAGTATGTTGATAATGACCCGGTGTATAATGTCAGGCTGTCTTGAGTGTCAGGTCCAGGCAGACTGCCCAAAATGTTATAATTTACGGATCCATTTGCTGAGGCTACTTAAGGATTTACGGGATTCTTCTTTTATGTTTCCCATGGTACCCTTTAAACTTTAATGTGAAGTATTATCAAACAGAATGCAAGTTTTTTTTACATACAATGGTGAGATAAAGAACTATTGTCCAACCTTAAAGAAATCATCTTAGATTTTGGGAAATACGCTTTTTAGCTTGCTTCCTGTTTGTCAGATGAGAAGATACAGTTGTGTTTGTACGATAAATATGAAGCTAGCGCTAGCCTTTGTACCGAAACAGGCTAGTAGTTTCCTCCTGTTTCCATTTATTGTGCTAAGCTAATTGGCTTTGAAAATAAAAACATTCCAATATTTTGGTTCTGGACACCTGGATGCACGGGACTCCCTAAAAACTTTGTATTTTACCTCTGGGCGGTGCCTTACATCCTGCATCGTGCACAGTGTTCCCTAATGTGCGTCCTCTTTGGGTCACATTGGCTCCTTTAGGGAGACTGTACACTAAGACGATGTTAATTAACCTAATCTTTGCCTTAATCTCAAGATTAAACCTACAGGAGACTTCACCTCACCTCCAGTCAGTCACATAATTATTCACCAGTGGAATACATTCATACAAAGCATATTAAATGAATGTCAAATGTACTGTATGCTTGCTCTGTATTATGATATGATTATCATGTAATATAAGAAAACATGACTCTAAATCTCAATTTGTTTCTGCAGGTTAATTCTAGAGAGAGAGGGACCCCGTTCACTCTTCAGAGGACTGGGACCCAACCTTGTGGGTGTGGCACCTTCCAGGTATGTACAGTGTTATACAACATATTCTGGGTGTGGTGCATGGCTTCTTCTGTTACCCTTATGTCCTGAAGGGGAGCTATAATCCTTATATTCAGGTTCATACTTGTATTAAAGCTTTCTAAGAGAACATATATAAATGCTTTAATGGTCAGAGAGCACATTATGTTCCTCAGACTGTCTGTGCTGGAACACCTGTACACATTCTCTGTGTGAGATGCTCCATTTTAGCGCCCTTCTCTTTAAGCTTCTCTCCCAGAACGCCTACTCCACTCTCATAGGCCAGCATTTCTAGGTCTTCATGTCTTGGCACCTCTGCACCGTCATTGCAGCAAGGGAATGACTGTAATGGAGAATAACAGCACTTTTTACAGTGAAAAATCACCAATAATAGCTTCTAAACACAAGTGAATAACTTCAAGCAGGAACATGATCTGAAATTATATGAGTATATGATCCTGACGTTGGCATGTAGCTTCATCTAGCAGTGTAGGTTACGTAAAGTAAACACTTGCAGTAGTGTGCCTGGAGCAGATGACTATATACAGAAATCTGACACACTATGATGTCATACTGAAGCTAAAGTAGAAAAAAACGCTGGAAACGGAGTGTTGAGGATGGTAGGAACACTGAGGATTTTGCTCACGGGATTACATCTACATACCTTTACCTTATTATGTGAAAACTGTGAACATCCTTCATTGTAACGCTATAGATAGGACACAAATATGGAAATGTATGTTAAGTCCCCAAAATCATACAGAATGAAGCCATACCTGATAACCAACACAGGAGAGTAGGTCACAGCAGTCTTTGCCATTTATTAGAAACCTTTAGAATGAATCAGTGTTATCAGCACAAGCACGACCTGTTATCAGAAAATAAACGCGTTACTGCGTCATTTACTTAACATGTTACATCAAACCTGGGCACACACACACATATTTGCTGAGGAATGTATTTACGTCTGCTCGATCTTCTTAGCCTTTTCTGTCTGACTCATTCAGAGCTTATTTTGGCAGTAATAATAGCTGGCCATGAATACAGTTATGAATGTGACTTAAACTCACAGAAATGCAATGCAAATCTGTGCTTCAAATCCTACAGGGAATGTGTAGGTTCCCCCTCTCCTAGCTCGGCTGGATAGGGTTGCATAACAGCCTGAACTCAAACACCGTCTGAATGGAACATCAACAACAGCAGGCGGCGTCCAGCTGTGATGCCCCTTGTCATGTGACTGCTGATGTTGTTGTGTGTTATCACAATGGAGTTCGTATACTGAGAGAATTGTGTTGTGTCTAATCCCCCTCCCTGACTTGTCTAGTTCTCCCTAGCTACCGGCGCATCACATGGCAATTGTCATCCTCTTCCCGTTGGTTCGTCGTGGTCCCCGTCTCTCTGTTTGAGTCATCCGTTCCATTCTCTTATCCTCTGTCTCTCTCGCCATGTTTGTCATTCTTTGCCTATATTAAATCAGAGCTGTTCTGTCCTCTGGGTCCTATACCGTCTATGCTGTCTCGCCCTGTCTGGCTCAGACTCTCTGAGGGGTGAAAAATGCCCTTGGGTTTGCATGTGTGTGTGTGTGTGTGTCAGTCCCGTGGGCTAGCTGTCCAGCTGTGGACATGGCAGCTTGTTTCCTGGTCACGACAGCTTTAACAAACTGTGCTATAGGAAGATATTGTTACATAAGAGGTGAGCCTGATGAACTCAGTGGCAACATATGAGATTTCCGGCTCTCTTATGTGCGGTTTTATGAACCAGTTGAAGCCTAATGTTGACTTTTAAAAATTACTTTTATGGAGTACCAAATTTAGATGAATCTGGATATTTAGTATGTGATTGTCCCACCACCTAACTGAAGCTGTATCACATTTAACTTTGCTGAAATAATAAAATTAAAGACACCATTTTTTTATGGCTCCACTGCCACATCAAATAAATAATTCAGGATAACTTTTTTGTTTTGTTTTAAATCATTTTAATTAGCAACACCTTTTAGATTGTCACTTAATCAGAGCAGCTGAATACATCAGTTTAGCTTTCAGCTGCAGGCTGTAAAATGTTACTGATCATTCTGAGATAAAAATGGCTAAATTACTTTGGGTTACTGAGCAACATGCTACCATCAATGTCTGCATGGTTTATTATAGATATGACAGGCAATTCCAATTTTGAAGATATATGGCAACGTAAGATATTATTTCCAATTTAATTTAATCGCAGTCTGATTTAGTTAAAGCTTAAGAATCAGATCCAATATAATTGAATGAATTAAAAGATTTATTTGTCTACAAGGGAAGGTCTGGGTTGCTGGGCTACAGAGTTAATCTCTCCTGTTATAATTAGGAAACAGCACTCTGACGCTGGAAAGCTAAAAAAAAACTGTGATGCTAATGAGGGCGCAGTCCACTGGGCTCGCTGCTGGCATTCATTAGCAACACACACACACACATAACAAATGCATACAGAACAGCTTGCACCAGTAGCATCAGTCAGTGCGGATGAGGGATGCGCGTACACACTCAGACCCACTCACATAATTCATCTCTCATCTGCAGAGCAGCATGATTATATTGTGCATGCTCTCAGATCAGGAGGAAGGCAGGGAGGGAAGGTCAGCCGGTTTAATTCCACTCAGCAGAAATGTTGACTAAATCCTGTGATATTATTTAGTGAGGAGCAGGGAGAATCATGGGAGATAAATCTGCTACTAAAGCGTGCTATGAGATTGAGACACATACACGCACGCTTGCATGCACATACACACACAGGCAGAGATCAACTTCTTTCAGTGGCTTGCATTTAGACTACATATTAGCTTGGCTTAGCTCTGCAATTTAGGTAGTAGTTTTTTACAGGCAATTGAAATGACGTGTTCATATTTAAAGCGGCTAACTTAAAGACATACTATGCAGGAACACAAAAGTAATCCATCTCTGTCATCACTTGTGACCCACTAGAAGTGTATGGTGGTGGACTGCAGAGACTCTGCCCTCTGTCTGAAGGTTCTTATTTCCCTCTTATTTATCGTCCAAGTGTCAGACAGTAAGCAGCACACATCCAAGAGGAAGCTACGAAAATCACGGACATGGCACTCGAAAAATGAAAATATAGAAAGGCAAAATGCAAAGCAGACAAAGTTATTTCCAAATCAAGAGTGGATCTGGGGTTGACTTTCATTTTCACGTTCTATTAATGATGTCACTATGAAGTTTTTTGCCTCTGATCCCAGTCCAAGTCATTTTATGTCCCGATCCAATACTTCTATTACTATCCTTAGATAAAACAGTTGCACAGTGCCCACTTCAAGCACATTAAAGTTACTCGAATCAATCCAGTGTATATGCTTGACAGTTGAATAGCTCTGCAATGCATTAAGAAAAAAAAGCCTCCAAGCTGTTGAATGAGAGCTGGAGAGGTGATGACGGCTGTGCATAAAAGCTTTGCAAAAAAAAGAACATCTGTGTGACAGCTGACGTAAAAAAAAGAAGAGGGTCGGGCTCTAAATAGCTCAATATGGTTGATCCTTATCAGTTAAAAAGATGCCTTGTTTGGACCTGATACAGGTCTTTGAGACTGGATTGAGATGTCCCTACTTTCAGTGGTGATACTAGGGATGTTCCTGGCGACTAATATCTGTTAACTGTATTTAATCAATGGTGTTTCCTCACCAGTCAGTTGTAGTCAGAGGTATACTTTCCTGATTTTCAACCAGCTTTATGTCATATCAGTGTGGGTAGTATGTGTAAATAAACTGTAGTAAACTTCCCTCCATTTTACCAGATCTCACTGCTCCTCTCCCAGCTCTGCATTGCAATTTTCTCTCCTAAAATGTTTTCAAAAACATATTTTAATTTAGTGTTTAACTGTAATGTGACATTGTTTAAAAACAGCCGGCTGCTATATTGTTTCCTGTTTCTTGTGTGAAACGCACAAACCTGAATTGCGCAACTCATCATCAGTGCATATTGGTCTGGTGCGGCACAGTGCATCCTGGTAGTTGTAGGTTTGCTACCTTTTGAGCAGAAGCAAATGCCATAGCCCTTTATCTTTGTTTTCTCTGGTTTATAGCTACAATTTCAAATAATAATAATAATAATAAAACAGAGTTACAAAGTGCTTTATAAAACTGAATAAAAGACAAAGCAAATAAAACAGGATCAAAGCAATAAAAACAGAATACACATAACAGGGTAAAACACACAATAATAAAGCAGTTAAAGTCACTGAAAGGCAGTTTTAGACAAGCAGGTTTTCAGAGGTGATTTAAAAGATGAGAATGAGTTTGCAGCCCTGATTGCAGCTCTGACTGCAAAGGCTCTGTCACCTTTGTGAGTTAATCTAGACTTCGGAACAACAAGAAAAGATGCATTTCAGGATCTCAGGGTATGAGAAGGAACATAGGCGAATAAGGCACAATGTTTGTGTCTTTCTACTGCATAGACAGCCCAGTTTTATGAAAAGAGTATCTTTCTAACAGTGAAATACTTCTTCATTTCTTAGTCAGTTTAACCAGTGTTTTTGATATCTTCTTACTAACCTCTGTCTTATTTTCCAGGGCGATCTACTTTGCAGCCTATTCAACAGCTAAGGAGAAGCTAAATGGAGTGCTGGAGCCGGACTCAACCCAAGTGCACATGGTGTCAGCTGGGATGGCAGGTAATGATGGCTCCGTCTCCCCCTCCCTTCTGTCTGTTTGTCACTGTCTGTCGCTGAGTGTTATCTCTGCCTGTCTGTCTGTCTGTCTGTCAGTGTAAGTGTGGGCAGTGTAAATCACTGATGGGTTTTATATTTATATATAAAAAAACATGTTAAAGAATTATTCAGTTTGTCTTCATTAGACGGATTTCCTTTTACTTTTTTCTTTTCATCATTTTCACAATTTGAAGTATCCCAGAGTTTCACTTCACCCCCCCCCTCCTTACCCCCCTCTCCATATACATGTGTGGGATGGTGGGATTTTCACAAATTTCAAAGCTTGTGAATATCTAAAGCATGCCAAAGCTAACGAATGATAATATCTGTTATAAGTAGGCATTACGTAGCTGTTTCATGTATAGACATATGAAATTTAAACAATAGGGGGTTTGTCAGAAAGCACAATTTAAGACTCTCAGGATCAAACTGACCTTGACCGTAGTTCTAATGAACACAGCCTCACACATGCAACGTTTCCACTGCATGGTTCTGCATGAGTCTGACTTTTAAGGTTCACTTACAAACCAGCAGTGTGACAGGCAATACCGCACCTGCACCGCTTCCGCACGTACAACCAATTAGGTCCTTAACTCGACACATCGATGCAGGCTCTGTGGCCCAACTTGCTACAGTAAACCCTATGGAAACCATGCACCATTTAAGTAATACTGTTGGGCAGCAGTTTAAAGTGATCGTTTTGGGCCTTTTCATATATGTGAAATTAAGATAATATATTTTAAAACAAAGGTAAATCAGGAAAGACAATTTAAATGAATATTTTTTGCATATCGGCTCAGCTCGTTTGGAACCTCGACTCGTACCAAGAAGAAAACCAAGTACTATCCGCAACCTTTGCGAATTGAAAACCAAAAAAGAGCCAATCGAGTTTAGTAGAGGCATGCCGTACCATGCAGTGGAAATGAGCCATTAGTTTATTGTGAAACCATGAAAGATACATTTATCCATGTTGTAAACACTGTATTTTCTACAGTCACATTATTCTAAAAAAAAAAAAGAGAGATAATCTCCTGTCTGACATTTGACAAAGATGGTTACAAAAGCACCTTGAAATCATGCCAGTCACATAGCACATCACTGCTGACTCTTGCCAGCTTCTATCTGACCATTTCCTTTCTGTAAATACACCCAGATTTACAGTACGTTGTCTTGTCAGCCCACATACAGTTAAGGAGGCAAATCCTTATATCAGCAGTGTCAGACTTTAATGCAAATGAGACACAGCAACCAGACAATTTCAGGCTATAATGTGCCGTAGCTGGCATTTACACCATGACTGAGCTGTATATATTTTCAGCTGTTTGACAAAAAGAAGAAAACCACATGGTCCTCAAAGTTTAGGTTGTGCTTTCCTCCTCTCCTAGCCCCTTTGTCCCCCATGTCCTCCATTATTTTTTATTTCCTCCTTTGCCCCTTTTCCCCCTCTTTTTATTCTTCATTTTGAGGCCTCTCCAGAGGACTCTGTAAATGGTTTAACATCCCAGTTGTTACTTAAACAGTGTGGTCTGGGCCCCCTTCTTTGCTCTGTGTGTATAGAGGAGAGAGCACGGCCCCCAAAGGTCAACCGGGGCCCCTGGCACTCGGGCGGACACGTCAGGTAGCATCCCATTTCTTTACACTGGTATGATGAAAACCATGGTGATTTTTATGAATATTAGAAAGTTCATAATGGTTATTCATTTGTAATGATATTACCATTGCTCATGGCAATGTGTTTGCTGCTGGACTGTAGTTCTAGGTTCTTATCATAAGGTTTTGTTACTGCTTAGTCTTGAAACACACCTCCACCTTCCCCTTAGCCTGTTGCCGTGTTCCATCAGCATAGTAAAGGTAAAGTAATGACACACACTTCTGTGGATTTTATGTCGTCCACACTGAAAGAAATGCTAACCTTGTCACTGCTATTGATGTGCTCCATTTTGTCTTTTGTCATCATCCATCATCACCTTTAGTGCCTCAGTCATTTCTTTTCAAGGAGAATCGGTATCAGTACATCATCTAAAAGGCCGGCACTATCTTGACATGACTTCCTATTTTCTAAAATTAATACTTGTGGCTAAGATGCAGAGACATTTAATAGATAGATACTTGACTGTCATTGCATATTAAAACACAGTGAAATTTGCTCGACAGTAATCCACTCCATTTAGCAGCATACATAAATGAATATACTATAAAAGGAAATATTTAAAGATATAAATAGTCACACATATATGTTATAAAAATACAATTGATAGTTGCACTTATTTCATTAAATGGAGGAGTTGGAGTAATGGAGTTGGGTGAACTTTATTACAACATATAAAAGAGCCGGTGAGTTTCTCTTGGAGAATAGTGATTTTATCTTAATGTTGCACTCATGTCTTCATCAGATGGAAGTTGCATTTATTTATCTAGAGTACCTTGAACAAAATATTTTTGTAGTTATACTGTATACTATGTGCTTTCATCTCAAAATCCTGTATTACAGTAAATGTAATTTTATATCATGGTAGGGTTGCATCGTTATACTGGTTTCACGGTATAGGTGATATGAAAACTGAGGGTTATTCTACCATGTACATTTGCTCATCTGTGATATATTAAAAAAAAAATACAACTGGACGGAGAATCCCACCTTTGTTTTAGTTATGTTCAAAAGGGAGAGTTTTTACACATACTTCCATTTTTGAAAATGGTTTCAAGTTTCATGTATGGTCATAAAACATTTGAAAGAAAAAGACTAAAAGAAGTGAAACCTAAATTCTTTCAAAATGGAAGCTGGAGTCATGAGAATCACAAGGTCAAGGGAGATTCCAGCTTCAATTTGCTATGTCCTGCAGTAGAAATGGTATTGCCAAACCTTTACCGATATACACATTTCTACCATTGCATGGTATATTCGTCACATCCCCACATATTCCATATTCAGTCTTGTCAGCACTGAGAAATAGCAGAGTTAAAGAAAGCCTCAGAAACTGAAGCTAAATTTGACCCCGATGTCTGGATAAATGCCTCCAGTTTTGAAAAGTAACTTTGTGGAGTCAATGCCTCTCATGGCCTCCCTGTGCTGTGAGCTGTGGGGTTCCTTGCTTTCGGGGAAGGGAGGCCAGTTCCACTCCTTCACTTTGACTTATTGTCTCTTGTAGCAGTTAATCTAAAGCATGCTTGTCTTCTCTGAATGTAGGTCAAACTCCTCTGGAGAAACCGCACGGAGATTATGTGCCTATGGAAGGGTCATAATGCAAACATGCAGCTGCAGCTCCAGGTCTAGTCAGCATGTATAGCTGAATATAGTCAGGAAAAGGAGAAGGAAAGAGGAGATGACATATAGAAATTGGCCACAGGTTAGAACTGAACTTTGGTTAGGGTTGGGTGCTGCTGCTAAGGACTCAGATGAGCACCCACAATTAACAAATCCAACTAAACCTCTTCATATCAAAGAGTTAAATTGTCATGATCAGAGCAGCTACATAGAACAGGCTATATTATGTGCGGTTATGAACATTAAGCTGTTAATTTCGCACTAAACATTGAGACTTCTTGAACATGCAATACTGTGGAAAACTGTTACCCTCTGAGGTTCCTTCTCAAGTGTCCTTTTGTATGACATAAGAGCACAGTTTCTTTTTGCTAGAAGCAGGTTGGCTCTCTGGAGACACTTTTTTCCTCCACGTGCAAGGACAACTTAATATTAAATTTATCCCAGTTTTCCAGAATGAGGTTTGGCCCAGACAGGTGGCTGAGTTGCGTTCATTGTTCCACCTCATTTGATTCATCTCACTTCATCCTTATGTCATCACATACTCATAAAATGCTCTCCTTTCATCACCATTGTCCACCACTTCGAGTTACACAACGACAAGGTTAGCATTTCCACCTGCCTCTCTTAATTTTCTACCTTTTTTTAAGATAGCATTTGATTTTAATATGTAGATGATAAACTGATAATGGCACAATGATTATGTAGAATACATCTTCTATATAATTTTCTGCCTTTGTATTTGTACTTGTGTTTTACCTCGCTCTGGTGAGATGGAGCTGGAGCTTTGGATTGGGTTGGCTTCTGTTCAGTCAACATTTTCTTTATGCCCGTTGTTAAAAGGAGTAAAGGGAGGGATATACTGTAAAGTGACAGTAAAAGAAATGTTAAACTCTTTAACTCTAGAGCAAATTAAAGGGAATGGGGCTTAGAGTTGGAGTTTGGGGAAAGATGGGGGGAGGTCCGTCCTTCACCTCCCATCTCTTCTCCAACTACCTATATAGCACCAGTGGGTTTGGGTGGGTGGTTGGTGGGGTTGGGGGTGGATGTGACTGCTGCTTGTGTGTGACTGTGGTACAGAAAAGCCTGTGTCTATTTTAGGGCTTTACTGTAAAGCTTTCACCCCTGCGTGATTGGGTGGGAGACCCCCGCCATCTGTGCCCCCCATATCTGCAGGCTACTAGCTGCAGCGGGGAGGAGCTGGAGGAGCTTTGCCCCTCCCTCGTGAGTACACGCCATAGACGCTACTTCCTTCTACTTCCCTCTTTTTCCTTCTTCCTCTTTTTGTTCTTCTCTTCTTCTCTTCAACAGACCTGTGTCTTCCTCTCTTCTTCACGCAGTTGCCTTAACGTAGGGCTGATACACTAGATGTGACTGAGGTCTCTCTCTAGATGTGCCCTTGTCTTAGCTGTTTCCTGCAAATGGCCATGTTTTTTCTCTCTCTGTTACGTAATTTTTATCAGAAAATATTAGAGAGACTTTGTGTCATTTCATAATGATGCAAAGTGCTTGATTAGGAGCTTTACACCAATCATATCAAACATTACGTTATTGTCTAAAGTCCTAAATCAGGGGATATTTTGGATCTTTTGAAGTGGGGCTGTATGGGGTAGTTATGCATAGTCAGTGTATTACATACAGCAGATGTCTGTCGGCACGCCCCCAGTCTGGAGAAGCAGGCAGGAATACCGACACAGAAGCTAAGCAATGTACAGCTGTGGAAGGGCGCAGCAGCAAAACATTATTATTTTTTTTATTATTTTAGCCACCTCAAAACTAAGAAGGATCATTATAAGTTTAAGTGCACACTATATTTAGAATATTTTCACTGCTTTACCTTGCTGTCAGACATTGATTTCCGATGGGGGAAGTAAAGCTGTTATATCGTCTCTTCAAAGCCAGACTCCATAGAGAAAAACTGTGATTTTACATTGCTGAACACAGGAGCTGCTGGTTAACCGCTACCTGGATCAGTTAGTCTGTGTTATTATGTGACACTGGCGTTTAAAGGGGTTAATTCGGATTCACCAAAGTCACACAATAACACAAACAAACTAACTAATCAAGGCAGTGGTAGACCAGCAGCTCCTGTGTTCAGCAAGCCAAAATGACTGTTTATGTCAATGGAGTCTGCTGGCTTTGATGAGAGTATAGATGGGGAACTGAAACTGTTAATGGCTTCCCCGTTGGAATAGGCTTTTATAAAGGTTAAGCAGTGAAAATATTCTCAATATAGTGTACACTTGAACTGTTATACATTTTTTTGATTAGAGGGAACTTTTCTTAAGTGGCTCAAATACATCTTGCTGTTGTCGCCGATCCACAGCAGTACATTGCTTAACTCCCGTGCTCCCTGCTTCTCCAAACTGGGGGCATGCCGGCCACCATCTACAGTATAATACACAGACTATGGATAAGTACCTCATATAACCCAACTTCAAAAAATTCAAACTACCCCTTTAACAAAAACACAAGAACACTGTACTAACTTCACACAAAGTATCATCTCCTGTAAATAACTCAAACAAGCTCATGCACACACTCACATCTGCTTGACATATACTCTGCACACACAACTGCATTTTTAATGCATTTCGTTATCAAGTTTCAAACTAAGATAGGCTGTGAAAGCAGATGGACATATAGAACCAGGTGTCCCATCGCCATTGGGATGTAAAGTCCGCAGTAAATTTCACGTCAGAGACTTTCCACTTTAGTCCTGCTGAATAATTGAAGAATCTTCTCCAGACACCATTTTGTTTCACTGTGCTGCTGCAGTTGTGTTCGTATCAGGCCAACAGCCTCTAGTGTCGAACCAGTTAACTACTGGTTTGTTCAATGTCACAGAATAAGCATAAAGATGTTTATGCATGTCTAATAAAGAGGACACATTCATATCGCTGAAGCAACAATAAGAGAAAATTCAGATCAGTGACAAAACTAAGAATCAAACCTTCTGTGTTGTGACTTGAAGTTTTCTTTTCTAGATTTTCCTGATACTTTTTCTGTGTATTTCAAAACACATTTAAAGTAATGATATTAAAAAAAACAGACCGCCTCCGCTCCTTAGCTCTTTAAAATGAGCTTATGTTTTAATAGCAAATGCTTTTTATTAGAAACACAAGAGCTCTCATTAGCATTTCAAAGAAATGAATCTGACTGCAGTATAATAACAATCTGCTGCACTCAAGGGCCTAAAATGACTTTGCTGCTTGGCCTCATTTCCCAGCGTTTTCAGTTAGATATTTTCTTAAGATGACAAATGGAAAAAGAAAGCGCTCACAGCTGCCGCCTTCATGCACTGTTGATAGTTGAGATGTTTCAGGAATAGAGCTGTTGTATACATACGCCTGTGCAGCATTTCACATGAAGAGGATCAATATGTGGAAATGAAAAAGCATGCATTTTTAATTCTGTTTCAAAAAAGATTGAATCAATACCGACATTATTTTGAATAATATAACTCTCTATGACTGTATTATAACTCTCTATGACTGTATTAAAATATCTCACAGTGAAGTAAAACAATGAAGCGAGTTGATCCTGTTTAGTGAAGTGCTCTCTCATTGTCCTTGTGCAGTAAAGAATATTTAATGCAGTTGATTAGATTGTGTTTTTCCAGATGTCTTTGCATCTGTCTGAACCTCTGTATTCCTCTGAAATTCCCAGGGTTCACCGCCATCACAGCCACCAATCCCATCTGGCTGATCAAGACTCGTCTGCAGCTGGAAACCAGGTGAGGAACCCCAAAATTTTATGTCATAAGTCTAGAAGCTACAGGAGAGAGGACTGTATTAATTTTATTGTTATTGGACTTAAACTAGAAGTCTCTGTGCTATTACAGAAACCGGGGGGAGCGGCGAATGAATGCATTCGAGTGTGTGCGGCGGGTGTACCAGATGGACGGCCTGCGAGGTTTCTACAGGGGCATGTCAGCCTCATACGCTGGTATCTCTGAGACTGTTATCCATTTTGTCATCTATGAGAGCATCAAACGTAAACTGTTGGAATGGAAGGCCCACGCCAGCATGGACGAAGAGGAAGAGTCCGTCAAAGATGCGTCGGACTTTGTGGGCATGATGCTTGCAGCAGCCACCTCAAAAACTTGTGCCACCTCCATTGCCTACCCTCACGGTAACATTCTGTTTTGATCATCTTTCTTTTGTTAATGTCAGACTGTAAATGGTAAATGGACTGTACTGGTATAGCGCCTTTCTAGTCTTCCGACCACTCAGAGCACTTTAACACTACTGAGTCACGTTCACCCATTCACACACTCGTTCACAAACTGGTGGCCGAGGCTATCATGCAAGGTGCCACCTGCTACTCAGTAACCACGCTTTAATTGACACGCTGGACTCCAGTTGCCTACCATATAGCACTTACGATTGTTTGTGTCTCAGTTATTGAGTGAGACAGCTGCAACCGATTGCAAAACAGACTGCAATGTAACCACTCAGGGCAACTTTGCACCATCAATGTACATCCACTACAAGTGTTTGTTTTTGCCACTGATAGGCTCAGGTGGTTACTCTTAGATTCTGACAGCATTATGAAAAGGATCCCTACAGAGATACACCTTTTTGTTAAATATTAAGATCCTATTTGTCTAAGAAAGAAACAGAGACAGCCCTGACATTGCTATCACCAAACCCACCAGACTCCATTTAAACAGATAGTGACTTTAGCATGTATAGAGCCAGCATCTTTTCACACCTGACTGGGTGAATTAAGGGTTGATTTTGACCAAACCAGATGATTTGGTGATTGTTGGAATAGTTCAAAGACAAAACAAGACAGCCTTTGTGAGTTTTCATTTGGTTCTGTGGACTTAAAATTAAGTGAGTTTTTATAATGATAAAATAACTTTATCTACATGGAGTCTGGTGGGTTTGACAATAGCAATTTTGGGGCTATTTCTAGTTAAATAGAAAGGTTTATCTCTGTAAGGATCCTTTCCATGACGTTGTCAGACATTTACAATAAAAATCTGAGCCTGTCAGTGGCAAAAACAAGCACTTGAAGTGGACATTAATTGACAGTGCACAATTGCCCTGAGCGGTTACATTGCAGCCTGTTTTGTGGCAGCCAGCAGCGGCCCTCTTGCTCAATACTGGACCAGTTTCAAAAATTGCTGATCCTATTAGTCACTTAGACACGAAACATGGGAAACTGAGGTCATGGTTGAAAATTACCAAAGTGGCCCTTTAAGTATGGAGCCAGAGGCAGGAGGCAATTAGCTCAGCTTAGCGTGAAGACCTTTTTAAAGCTCTTCTGTTAACACATCATATTTTGTTTAATTTTACCAGACATAAATGTAAAACAACTACTTGTAGTTTTGCGGGGAGGAAGCATTGAGACATGTTCCATTTTCAGTGAGGCAGTGACTCACTTTTTCTCATTGGAAAATATCATGGTCCACTCACACTATAAATATCATTATCATTTTCCGCCTACCTGCAGCCCACAGCTGAGTGCAACATTTTAGATACCTTCTGTTGGGATTGTCTAAAGTCATTCAGGGGCATAGACACTCATTATCACTAGTATTCACAGTGTCAGATATGGAAATTTAGCTTTAGGGAGACAACACAACACACATAGGCGAAGTCTGACAAGTGTCTAATGGTGTATTTAACACATTTTCTCCCTCTACTCTTAAATCGCAGAGGTGATACGAACACGGCTACGAGAGGAGGGCAGCAAGTATCGCTCTTTCTTCCAGACTCTGTTGACGGTACCCAGGGAGGAAGGATACCGGGCGCTGTACCGCGGCCTAACCACCCACCTCGTCAGACAGATCCCCAACACGGCCATCATGATGTGCACCTATGAGGTGGTGGTCTACCTACTTGGCCATTAGCCCATCAGGTGTGTCTCCTTCTTGTTTAAAGAGGGAGACGTCCAGAAATGACTGAGAAGGAAGCCCTTTGGCAAGGAGTGAAGACAAAATGTCAAAATGAAGACCAAAGGAAAACCGAAAATACTCTAGCGGACCAGAAGAGGATTAAAGATGAAGAAATAGGAGGGAGGAAAGCCCTTTGTTACCATATCAGCATCATCACCTCTCCTTTATCAGAGTGCTGTGACAGACAGAGGGTGCTGCAGCTCACAGATGAGGTAACATGGGTAGGATGAGAAAGGAGGCACTGACAGAGGAGACAGAAAGAATTTGGCACCTTAAACTAAGGGTACTTCTGAAAGATTTTAAGCACAATTCAGTGGCCTTAATAGAAATGGTTTTGTGTCTCTTTGAGTGATGAGTGAAAAACAGCCTTTTTCACTCTTGGATAGAGACGATATTGTGAAAGGGGAATGCTTGGAGACAACTGAATTTAAAAGGACAGATAATTAAATGTAGGTCAGTTTCACTCTACTTGGCACTATTATTCTGCACTGGTCTTGTTTCAGTGCTGTGAGACTACTGTATAATTAGCTAACTGGCAGTATGGAGTGCTTAATTAAAGCTGAATGTCAGAAGGAAGTTGGCATTTTAAACAACGTGTCACCTGAGCCACTCATCTTTGCACTACAGAAGGTGTGGCTTCAAGCATTCCCCTCTGAACGCTGCAGTCAACCCCCCCATTGAAGGCCTGAAGTTCATACACAGTTAACTGGCCACACACAACAATGAGCTTGTGACGGCCTGTCACTTGAACACATGCCTCAGAAACCAGCTTGTGGTTATGAAGAGTAGGTTGAAAAGCTGACATTCAGTGTTTTATTCCCTCTATAACTCAGTGCCTGGTGGTGACATGCTTCGGGTGAAGCTGGCCTTCTGCGTGTCGACAGATTCTCTTTGTTGAAACTGAAATAAGATCGGCACACAAAGCCAGCTTCTCCCAGCGCCCGGTTGCTGCTCAGGACTTGTAAATCTTGTGTGAAGACATGAGACCAGCGTGTCCTTTTTGAGATGTGAAGTGTGATTGTCCAAAAGGTACCAAGAGTTAAAGGGAAACTTCAGTATTTGTCAACCTGGAACATTGTTTTTGTTTCTAAGGGCGTTTTCAAATTATGTACGATTGATTAGTATGCCTGAGTACGATTGCCCCCTCCTCTCCGTTAGTAATGTTCTGTACATGAGTGCACTTATTATCTATGTGACATTTTTGTCCTGCTACAGTGTAGAAAAGGTGAAGCAGTAAGGTGGATCTCTGCCGCTGTCCGGTGCAGAGCTCTCTGCCTCCAGACTGCAGGTCCAAGGCACCAACAAAGCCGGATCAGGGTCTCTCTGCTGTGGGCTGAGCTGCAAGAGGCATTAGCATTTATTTAGACTGTTTCATAACTGGTTACAAACTCCCTGCAGTTACATTTTATAGCAGTCTGCTTCTGTATTTTTGTACAGTTGGTGTTCACCCTGTATGCGTACTGTATCAGAGTACACATGAACCGAACTCTAGACCACCTTTTGAAGTGGACCCAGGCACAAGTCGGCATACTGTTCCCAGGTACGGTACACAGTATTTACACTAATTAAACAATCTGGACTTTAGGGTCAACTGTGCTTGGGTCACTGATGTGAAAGCCCCTTAAATCAGTGGTTCCCAACTGGTGGTGCATGGTCCAAAAGTGGGTCGCATGTCCATTTTGAATGAACCGCAAGTGACCTGCGAGTTGTTAAAAAAAAACACTTTATTTTGAAGTACAGTGAATTTACAGCACAGAGCTTTTATTTTGAAGTACCGCCTCTAGCTGTACAGTGAATAACTAACAGACAGCTACTTAACAGAGACAACAAACTAGCATGAAGACATGGCCAAATGCAAGTATGACGCTGAATATGCCAAACAGTGTGGACCTTGAAGAAAAAATCTGGACCCTGTGGCTGGACCAGTTGGGAACCACTGCCTTAAATGACTAATGGGAGCAATCATTTTTGAAATTGGTCTTGTATTAAGTGACAGAGCTGCAGCCAGCTGCCACGAAGCAAGCTGTACTGTAAGCACTTAAGGCAATAGTGCACCGCCATTGTATCAACTTAAAGCGCTGGCTTTTGACACTGACAGGCTCAGATTGTTATTATAAGTGTCCGACACATCATGGAAAGGATCCCTACAAAGACATAAAACGTTTTTCTTTACCCTTCGCTTGATCTGGTCTGTTTGTTACTGTGTCTAATCAAATCTTGTTCAAGCAGAAGACTTTTTCCCTTTGTGGAAATCAGCTAAATATTCACTCATGACATGAAAGACATTAATTTCTCTGTAGGGTTCTTTCCATAATATTGTCAGACATTTAATAACAACCTGAACCTGTTAGTGGCAAAAACAAGCTCTCAGAGGATGTACATTGACAGTGCATAATTGCCCCCAGTGGCTACACTACAGCTGTTTCGCCTCTGCTGGCCACAGCCGTCTCACTCAAAATAAGACCAGTTTCCAAAATTGTCATCTCCATTAGTCACTTAGACACAAAAACATGAGGAAATAGCATCCAGGTTGACAATTACTGAAGTTTTGCTTTAAATATCTGCTATTGGAGTGCCACTACTTGAATCTAACGTGATGGTGTGGGGGAATGTTGGAGTGCGAGAATGTTGATGGAGTTTCATCATCACCCCATAACCTGTTTGTGTGTGAGCGCGTGTGTCTGACATGTTCGTCAGTTTCACCTTGACGATCTACCTATGTTCAGGAATGTGCGTGAGTGGGTGTGTTTGTGCATCTGCGGTCATGGGTGCCTGCATGTATAATTAATATCTACTCCAGATTTCCCTCCACTAACTATTAATCTTTCACGACACTGCGGTTGGGAGTGTGGAGAAAAGCTCCTGAACGACAGTGGCAGCTTTCATTTCCCACTCTCGTGTCAGTCCTTCCTTCCAGTGGCTTCCAACTGACCCGATAACGTGCACGTTTGTGGCCTTTTAGGGCTTGTGCTTTGCATTTTATTGTGTGGACAGTTTGAACTTGTACATTGTAAAAGAAAAAGAAGTATTACTGTATATCCAAATGGTATTTTGCGCAACTGTTCTTATAACAGATATATTGTACAGATTAGAGTTCTCAGTAGTTGTGAAGGATGTCCAAATGTGTGTATATAATATAGATACTGTATATGCATATCATCTATTGTTTTTTTTTCTTCTTAGGCCCCTGTATGATCAAGCTGTAGATTGCATTTGTTTGTTTTCATTTATGTGCAATTTAACCTTGTTTGACTGTTGACATTAATATTGACATCGCTTGACAGATTTTTCCTATAGTATAAACTGTTTTTTGTATTTGTATGTTGCTGCAAGCTATCATGTTAACATTTGTGCTAACGCTAAAGATAACAAACGCTCCAGGACAAATATTTTATCGTAAGCATTTGTGCTGGAGCGTTGGTCGGTCATCTTGTGTTCCATTTCACATAGTTTGGATGTTTCCGCCATTGGTGAGAGTTTACATAGTTTATTAAAATAATCAGAAGTTAATCTGTCAGATTTTTACCCCTTTTCCACCAACGGGCTCCGTTCTGGTTCTAGCGCCAAATTCTGAACCCTTCGGAGAATTTCGACCAAAAATAAATTGTTTGGAAACTGAAAATTTGGCTTCCAGCTCTAAAAATAAACGTCAGGATTTCCTGTGGCGACACCAGTAGGTGTGTTACATACTACAAGTTTAAAAGAGAGGACGGAGAAGGCAACAATAGAGACGTTAAGTGAGAAAGCATCTGTAAAAGAAGAGCGAGCAGTGGTCTCGGATAAAACAAATACCTGCGATAACAAAACAAAAGCTTGCAGGTAGTGTGATCTGCCATCTTGCTCCATTGTGTAGCACCTTCCACTGATGATGCACCTGTGATTACAGCGGTTCCATTCAAGCAAGCTAGTTCGCTCAAAACGCAAAGGTCTAGTCCTGAACCGAACCGTTACAAAAACCAGAGCTAATTTGGTGGAAAAGAGGTACTAGTGACATGTTCTCAATATCAATATGAAGTATTTTAATGTGAGAGTTCAAGAACTGGAGTCATCTTTCTACAACATTGTACAAAGCTTGGACTGTGTAGTTAAAGAAAAACAAAAAAGTCAGAAATCGCCAGGCTAATCTGTTAATGAAGAGGGTTGTTGGTAAAAACAGTAAATGATCAGTTAAAAAAAACTCATATAGCAGACAAAAAGAAGGATCTTATGGGAAAATTTGGCACACACTTTTTCAAATTGTGTCCAAGCACCTTATCAAATTTTCTCTTGAATTATTTTATATTGTTTGGAGTTAAAACATCCTTTTCCATGACAGAGAAAAGCCCTCCTTCCACACCCTCTCTGACCTGGCTGCTGTGGTCTCAGCACACACTCAGTCTCCATAACAAACTGATAAAGTCTGCACAGTATTGTTCATTTCATCAGTTACAGAAAATCTGGTTTATTCATGCACGATGTTCTTGAACGCTCTTATTTCCCTCCCCTTGTTCCAGTATAATTTCAGGGGCAAACTCAGCCCTGTGTTGTTACCTGTAACAGTTATTGACTTCCATCTAAATGTTGCTATAGCTCGTTGCTGATATATATGAAAAAGAAAGCTGTCTCATTTTAATGTCCATGTTCTCCTGTAAAACACTAATAGCTTTTATGTCTTTTGCGCTGTTGCAGAAATACTTGAGGTCAAATTACCAAAATGTGAAACAAACAGACAACTGGACAAACAGTGCAAACATTTCACTTTATTTTTTTACCTCTCATTTCAGTGTCTGTACGCAATTCAGTATGTTTCTCCTGTACGCTCTGACAGGACGCAGCCTCAGCAGGATCGAATGAAACCTGGAAGATTGTTTTTTGTTTTTTTTGCCAGCTCAATCATTGATGTATTTTTTTGTTTGTTTGTTTTTTAAACACAAAAGTAAATAAAAATCCACTCGCAACTAAAATGATATCAGCTTTTTCTTTTCTTTCTCTGTTTTGTACATGTATTTTCCGGATTTTAGCGCAGAAGTTTAGCCTGGGGTTAAAAAGGGACACACTTTATTGGATGTTGGAGTAATTTATGAATGACAAAGCACAATATTTGACTGATAAAACTCTACATAGTAATAAAAGGCTTCTGTTAGTGTGAATATTATCATAAAACAGTCTAATTTTAATGAAGAATATAGCTCAAAAACTCTCCAGTTGCCAATACTTTTTCACTTTACTGAAATTTTAAGTGCAGAATTTGCATCTGCAACGTATAATATTTTACTTTACATTTACAGTAAATTACTGGCCACTAGTTGCATTACTTCCACAGTAAATTACTGTTCATTTTTACAGTAAATTGTTGTGGAATGACAGCTGTATACTCTCACAGTAGGTACACCCGCGTATTACTGTGATTTAACAATATGCTCCTGTAAAATTACTACATTTAACTGTAACCTCACACTTAAAGCCCATTATGTTCCTGTGATATTACAGCGTGTTCCTGTAAATTACTGAATTTATGTAGATTATGTACATTGGATTATTGTGATTTAGCAGTATGCTCCCACAGAATTATTGTATTTCACTGTAATATCGCAATTGATTTCCATAACCTGAACTTTTGTTTGGTATAAATTTTTAATTTCTAGCTATTTGGGATCAGTAGGACTTGATAAGTATAAAAAACTAAATATTGTCAACGATAACTAAGTCCCAATGTCCTCAAATGAGACGATAATTAAGTCCCAATGTCCTCAAACAAGACCATAATATAGCCCCAGTGTCTTCAAACGTGACGATAATTAAGTTCCAATGTCCTCTAACGAGACAATAATAGAGTTCCAATGTCCTCAAATGAGACGATAATAGAGTCCCAATGTCCTCAAACGAGACGATAATTAAGTCCCAGTGTCTTCAAACGAGACGATAATAAAGCCCCTGTCTTCAAACGAGACGATTAAGTTCCAGTGTCCACAAACGAGACGATGATAGAGTACCAATGTCCTCAAACGAGACGATAATAGAGCACCAGTGTCCTCAAACGAGACAGTAATGAAGTCCCAATGTCCTCAAACGAGACAGTAATGAAGTCCCAATGTCCTCAAACGAGACAATAATAAAGTTCCAATGTCCTCAAACGAGATGATAATAAAGTCTCAGTGTCTTCAAACGAGTACTTCCTAATTAACAGCGTCTCAGCTTGTTACTGTTGCTAAAATTGGTCAAATTTGTTATCACATCAAACTACAAACATTATTAATCATAAACAAACAAGTTTCAACCATAAAATGTGATCAGGTTTTGGACCCTGTCCACTTTTGTGTCAGGATCAGCTGCAGACTGACTTGGCAGAGATGGCTGCCATCTTGTTTTTACATGGATTAGTGTATTGTGCTCTTACTACTACTATTGTATTGTATTTTTTGTATTTTATCTTGTGAAGCACTTTGTGAGTCCTCTCTGTAAGAAGTGCTATATAAATAAAATTTACTTACTTACTTACTTACTACCACTAGATGGCACAAAAAAGTGTCCACGAATGAGGACAAGTCTAAGTTAAGTAGTATGAAGTAGATGTCGACATATGAGGACACAGGGTCTCAGGAGGATATTACTGTGATTTAGCAGTGTACTTTCAAATTAAAATTGCTATATTTACCTGCATGAATTTAACAATAAAATTCAGAAATTGGTGAAATATCACAATAAAAGCCTGTGAGGCGATAATAATGTAATTTGTTGTGAAATATAACAGTTACATATGGTAACTTCCTGTAACTTTGCAGTGTGAGTACGTCCCCTTCCACTGCAGACTGCTGGCTGGAGCTTCATATTTACTCTATGACATTCTATCTAAGATTGAGCTTAAGCAAAAAAAGTAAAGATCAGGGGTGTCAAACATAGGGCCTGTGGGCCAGAACCAGTCCGCAAAGGGTCCAATCTGGCTCTCTGGATGACTACACTAAGAGGTGCCAGGTTTCAGGAGCAAGTTAAACAATGCGTTGCCTAGTTCATGTAAAATTCAGCTTCAGAGGCTTTTCAACACTGACCAGAATACAGCCCTCTGATACAACAGTGAATACTGACTGTTACCATGTTTAGAGATATTGATCATTGTGCAAAATATTGTAAATCAGTAGTTTCAGTTCAAAAGAATCTGCATCAGGAAATGTATGGATAAATGCACATGTAATGAAAGGGAAAATAGATTGACTGAATGTGGAAAAACTGAGACATACTGTTGAAACCGAACTTAATTTTCTTGAGACATCTCAGGCTGTCCATCTGTTTGTGAAAGGATGAAAGTCTACAGAATGTACTTGATAAGGTTATCGTGTGATATTTTTACTGGTCCGTCCCATCTGAGATCAAACTGAGCTGTATGTTGCCCATGAACTAAAATGTGACACCCGAAAAAGTCCACAAACTGTTTGTATTTACCTGGTGTCACCACTAGGAGGAGCCAAATAGCTCCTGAGAGAATTCACCAGCGCACAAGTTCAATTTACTGAATTCACTGATGTCTGTTTTCATTGCCTGAAATGAATCAGAATCACACCATGCACATGCCTTCATGATCATTTTCATGCTCTAACATTATAGGCCAATAAAGGCATTGATTTCTATTTAGTTTTCTCTAATGCACGTGTAATACCCACAGCAGGATTAATCAATGAGTGTGTGGGTAAATGGAAATTGGGATAATCCATCACCATACATGGCCCAGTTGGACTCAGTGACATATGTTAAAAATCGCCATACGACATGAGCACTTATTGATCTCGTATTGCAGCTCAGCACAAACAGCACACACAGCACCCACTGTGACTGTCCTCTGATAAGAGTCGATGCAGATCAATCAGCTCTGCTCTGATTTTACTGAAACTAAACAGGCTGAATTTTGCATATTTCAGCAGATCACAACATCGATCCTGTGGTTATGTGTCTGAATTGACTTCCATTTAACAACCCGCTGATTAGTTTAGTGATGAATATTCTGCTGGAGACCACAGTGTGGATGTACACAGGAACAGAGGACGCGTGGGGATGATGATGCGTCCAAGTGCTGTGGCGAATCTTACAGACAGCATTCACTGTGAAAATGGCTTTTTACTGAGAGAAAAAACAAGCAGAGTATGAATCATATTGATTGAAATGATAAATAGAAGCTAACTATGGGAATTTCATGCTAATATATACAGTATATTTCTGTCCAATCGATAAAGTGCTCATCAGATTTTAAAAAAGGCATTTCACAGGATTGTCCTGGACAGCATAGCAACAACACATACATGTGTCTGATGCTGAAAATGTATAATTTCAACATATTAAATAGTTAAAATACTGAAAGATGTTGAAGTTAAGGTGGCTGTTGAAACACAGTCACTGAGAGAAGTTGATTATGAACAGTATATACAGGCCCTACCAGTGATGTCCATACACAATGCACCTAAGTCAACATAACATAAAACAACGACATGTTTCCAACAATTTTTAGAAGACCTTTAAAATGTTAAAGGAAAGGTGTAAGGCTACTTCTACCAACATTTTGGAGCTTATTCCAAACCCATGGTGCAAAAGAAGAGAAAGTAGTTTTGCTGAGCTCTAAACACACCCTGAGGACATGTAAAAGATTTGAAGTACAGTGCAATAGTTCCTGGTATAAAAGGAGATATAAGTAGGTAGTTAACCTAACAATGCCCTGGCAATGAATAGCAACGTTTGCATTTTTCTCCTCTGATACAGAGCTAAAGATTCATATAAAATGCAATGGTGAGTGCATGAGCGTGCATTTATGACAAATGTAATGCAGCATGATATGTAGAATCCAGTTTTTTAAGTAAGAATGAGGCTGCACTAATGTTACGCGAGCGTTTACGTCAGTCAGAGGCCTCCATGTAGGGAAGACAGACAGGATGCATTCAGTCTGAACACAATGATTGGTCAGAGTTTTCTTGGAACCATATGAGAATGGTATAATTATGAGTTTTTATTTCTGGTGGAATTCACTTACACTTTAGTAATAGCATTTTAACCTAAACAAAGAAAAGCGTAACATTTCCAGAAATGTAAGTGTCGCTTTAATGCATGTACCATCTCTTGTAACAGTATTGGGATCAGCTGTCCTAGAGCTTGTGCAAGTTAAAGTCATGATAGTAATAGTAGTGACAGCTATAACAGTAGGAGTAGTAGAAGTCTAGTAGTAGCAGTAGGAGTTGTAGTAATAGTAGTAGTGGTAGTAGAAGTGTAATGGTAGTAGTAGTAGTAGTGGTGGTGGTGGTGGTGGTGGTAGTAGTAGTAGTATAGACGCTGCCTGGAAAAAGGCCCAGCAGAGGCTGTGCTTCCTGCAACAGCTTAAGGAAGCTCAACCTGCCCCAGGAACTGCTGATCATGTTCTACACCGCCATAATCCAGTGTGTTCTCTGCACATCCATCACCGTCTGGTTTGGATCTGCCACCAAACTGGACTGGACTGCAACAGACAATCAGGTCGGCAGAGAGGATTATTGGGACTGATCTTCCCTCCATCCAGGACCTGTACCGGTCAAGGGTCAGGAAATGGGCAGGGAACTTCTCTGCAGACCCCTCACACCTGAACACAAACTGTTTTAACTCCTCCCCTCTGTTAGGCGCTTACAGAGTACTGTTTGCCAAATTTACCCTTCACAAAGACAGTTTCTTCCCCCAGGCTGTCACTTTGATGAACTCCTAACAGTCACAGAGTGGCAGGACAAACAACACTTGCACCTTTGTATATTGTATGTTTTTTTAAGTTTGATATTAGTTGTAGCCTATATTTCTGTATATTCCTCTCAAATTTTGAGTACTTATGTCAATTCTGGTACATTGAGAGCAAGTCTACTGGGGTCAAAATCCTTGTATGTATATGTGTACTTGTCAAATAAAGCTGATTCTGATTCTGAGTAGTAGTAGTAGAAGTCTAGTAGTAGTAGTGGTAGTGGGAGTC